CGACTTAAGCTACAACAGGCTAAGTCTTTGACCTTGCTAGAGGTCAAAGGGTTCAAATTCTGAGGGAAAATGCGAGTTCTTTCTAGATGAAGTAGAATATGCTCTGTGCCGAATGCTGATCACTGAATCCCTTATTCTAATGGCTGATTTCAGAGATGATGACTACTGTGGGAACCAAGTGACAGCTCTTTAGGAGCGGTTTACTACAGGCTGCCGCCGAATGTTGTAGTTTCAAACTATTTTGACGCCTAGAGGTCGAAAATTAATTTCCTGGCGGGCACGAGAGGCACAACTGACTGTCACCGTGAAGGCTCCATTAAAAGAAGTTGCTTGGAAGCAAAGCCTTCAACCCGCATGCCTTGAACCGAGCAGAAGTGCGCAAGGAAGAGACGAAAGTAGTCGTGAAAGCCAAGGCTAATTCCTGCGGGAAAATCGGGGTGATATTGAAGTAGAATTTTCAGATGGCAAAGACGGTATTCTGCCAGACCATCCGCCGGCTACAAGCTGAGAAAGATGACACTATAAGAGTCGTGAACAACAAGTTTGGATACCCTCTTATCGAGGATGAAGACAATCTTCGCGACGGAGAGAGTGCTCCGAGGAATTTCTTAACTTCGATAAGCTGCAGAAAAACTCGCCTGAAGAGCGATAGGTAACGGAAATTAGTATCTCTGCAGAAGAAATCACACAAACTGTGATAAGTGGTTAGAAGTGAAGTTTGAAATGTAGAAAGGCTCCTCGAATCGATGAAATCCGGTCTGAAATGCTTAAAGCATTTGGCGTACAGGGCATTTGCTGGCTGTTTGTGAAACCGCAGTGACTATGGGGAAGACAGCAGCAGCCTGGCGAACGGGAGTTGTAGTACTCCTGTTCAATAAGGAAAACCATGGAGAGTGCTCAATTATCCGGGTGCTACCTTACTGAGTTACGCGGGTGAGGTCCACTCCTAAATCAAAGAACAGTATAACTTTCGGTCCGATCGGAGCACATCTGACCATATATTCGCCTACACCAGACTGGTGAAAAATTGTATTCGCTCTTCTGATTTATAGCTGATTTATGGATCTACAGAAAGCCTCTGACCCGATCCCGTGCAACAATCTATGGGTGTATTTGCGAACATATGGAACAATGGTCAGCTGCTACGGGCCATCCAGTCACTATCTGCTAATAGCAGTAACTGCGTCTGAGTAAACTGGGTTAAGTCGAGAACTATTGGCGTCGACAATGGTCTATGCCAAAGCTGTAGTCTGTCCCATGTTTGGCTTGTGTTGTACATTAATTGAAAACTCACTCGCAGCCAAGGCGATGAGTGTATTAGCGTAGATGTCGAATCGGGAAGGCTACAGACAGTCTTGTTTTATTGGCATCTTCTCAAACAGATCTCCAGCGTTCTCTGGAAAGGTTCGCAGCCGAGTATGACGCGGTCGGCATGCGTGTGAACGTATCTAAAACGAAAAGCGTAGTGCTTTCTCATTCTCCTGCCCGTTGCTCTCTTACGATAAATGGAGAGGCAATGGAGCAAGTGGAGAAGTTCAAGTACCTCGGAGTCGTATTTACTAGTGATGGAAAATTTGAGGAAGAGATCGACCGGCGAAATGGAGTAGCCATTGGCGTTCCGCGTGAATTATACCGAATCACTGTGACTAAAGCAGAGCTGAGCATGAAGACTACGCTTTTGGTGTTGAAGTCGATCTCCAAACTTCATTGAAATGAACAAATACATCTGAAAACAACTAAAAGAATGAAGAAACAGGATCATCAGCATCCAGCGAATGTCATTCTAAGACCTTATACCAGTTTCGATACACAGGATGACAGTCCAGGAAGGAAGCGGGAAGGCGACTCTCAATCATTTCTAAACTACTGTCAGAAAGAAGTTTTGTTGCTACCAGACTAATAAAGGATTTTGAATTAGATATACGCATACATACGGATTATATTTGCATAAATATATCAGAATTCTGTTTCGTTCTACATAAATCCTCCTTCGCGTCAAGTTCTTGGACAACAAAAACAACAATATAAGGATCGCATGTACGAGCAGTGATAAGAGGAAGGAAAGAGACTTCGAGTTATGCATAAAGCAAAAACAGTCGAGACCATCGATGATTTCTAACCAGTACTAAAGGATTGGAAGCTAAACATTATATAAACAGGAAAAAAAACTTGATGAATCTATCGGATCACCACAATTACACTGCCTGTGCAGTGGCAGAAATCGACGCTACAAGTGGTGGAACACTTTATCTGCCAAAAGCGCACGGTTACAATACTGAGATTCAATAAAATAAAATACTGAGATCCAAAGAACAGAACATTGCACTTACAGCATCGTACGCAAGTTTCTGTCAGAAGCCAAATTAAAAGCCACTAAACTAAACGCATCAGTCTCCGTCCGTTGAACATATACAGTGTAGCTCTCTTAATAAACTTCATCGCAATTTTTTTGTCCAGCAAATGACTGTTATTTGGGAATTATTTACCCCCTTCAGTTCATAGAACATGCCACGACAGAAAAGATATAAAAACATGCGAACGTACTTCAAGCTTGGAAGATGGCGCAAGATTATATCGATGGCCAACACTGACTCATAAGGAATGGTACGAATGCGCCCTTCCATTGCTTCTTCCAACAGCGACAGGCTGACCTGAGATACCCATTTGATGGATATTCTAAACTGACGTTCAACAGCAGAATCACCAGGCAGTGTAACTTCTAGTTCAACCTAAAAACAAGTTCGTCGTGAGTGTTGTCTTCAAAATCATAAGTATTCACACTTTTAATCAGAAAGAATACTTTAATTTTATTATGCGTGGAAGGTTCACCTATGAACGTTGTAACTACAGCAATTCCACTTGAAATAATCAAGTTTTTCCAAGATCTTAAAAAATCAGTTTTGCTGGTAAACAGATTTTTCAGTGTACAAAAATCATGGTTTCATATGGTTTTCATAATATTGGTATATTATACATGTGCGCTGTTGACCTAGAAAAAGCCCATGATCAGATCCCGCGCAACAGGTGGTGGTTATGCCTGCGAACACACGGGATTGACAGCAGTTGCAACGGGTCATTCATTCAGTGCATTCAAATAGCAGGTGCTGCGTCAGAATAAATGGCGTTAAGTCTAAGCCTTTCAACGCGGGCACAGGTCTCCGCCAAGGCTGCGTCCCGTCCGCTCTCTTGATTGTGTTGTACATGGACAGAATAGCAGCCAAAGCGATGAGTGCATCGGAGTAGATGTGAAGACGAGAAGGTTGTTTTTTGTAGACGATCTTATTTTATTAGCATCTTCTGAAACTGATCTCCAGTACTCCTTAGAAAGGTTCGCAGCTGAGTGTGACGTGACCGGCATTCGTGTGAACGCATTTAAGACGAAAAACCTAGTGATTTCTCGTTCTCCGGCCCGTTTCATTAACGGCGAGGCAGTGGAGCAGTTGAAATACATCGGTGTCGTATTTAGTAGCGATGGAAAATTAAACGAAAAGATCGACCAACGAAGTGGAGTAGCCAGTGACGTTGTGTGACCTAGCCCGAACCATTATGACTAAAGCAAAGCTGAGTCTGAAGACTAAGCTCTCGATATTCAAGTCGTTCTTCATCCCCATGCTTAACTACGGTGATGAGTCGTGGACCATGACTGAAATGCTTCTAACCCGGGGATAAGCGGCTATAATGGGCTTTCTGAGACGAATCGACGCGTCTGGACATGGTTCGCAATATGGACATCCGCGAGAGCTTTAGTGTACAGCCGCTGCTTCTTCAGACTGAGAAGTCACAGCTACGACGGTATGGGCATGTGTTGCGAATACCTCCAAAAGAAAAGAGAAGCAACTCTTACCTGTCCGACCGACCGGCAGAAAGCCCAAGGGACGGCCAAGATTAACCTGGTGCAAATATATAGGAGTCTGTTCCAGACACCAGCTGTCTTTTGTTGAAGCTGAGACTCCGGAACAGGATCGGGAACGTTGGAAGTACTGTCTGATGCCTCTGCCTCTACGACCAGAAAGGAGAAGCGGTCATGGAAGATGATGACTGTATATATAGAGGAACAGCCGGCTTCAGTCAGCATACCATGGACTGATTTCGATACTGCAGACAGATCGCTCAGGCTGGTGGTAGTCGTTAATCCGCATTAGTGTAGTCTTGCATTTGCGGCATTCGCGCTTTTCCCGTATATTAGGCCAAATAAAATCTCATAATCGAACTGAGTTTTTAATACCTTTAACAAGATCTTAACAAATTAAACTCATTTCTAGTAAACTGCAATTGCCACCACAGCTGAACTAAACTACAGAATAGAAGATCGAATAGAGAAAAAGTATGACTGATTTTCTAAGTGGAGGAAACAAAAAGAAAATCCATTATTTCAGACGCACAAAGGCATAAGATGTTTTACTGCATAAAGCATTAGGTACAGCAGAGATTACCATCGAATAGACGTCTTAACCAGTCATGCACAGTCTTACATATCACAGTGCTACAACATTCGTCAGATCTTAATAAGTTAGCTTTATCGTAGCAACGCAGACACAAAGTCCGGATCACACGAAGTGCGGCAAGAGGTATACTCCTTAACCACCCTTATGACATCAGTGAAAGACTGTCATTAATCCAAAATGGCCGCTAACAAAACGACTGAGGGTCATATTACCGTGAAGGAATCATGACTTTATTTTCATGCCATTTATCATTTCAAAACAAGATAACACGCTGATATCGCCTGAATCTTTAAAACATGATACTACTTGGGTAAAATACATAACAGGAATCAAACAAGCAGTTCTACCGACGCCGCAACACCACCAACAATACCTCCAACTTGTGAACTTTCTAACGCTCAGGAAATTTTACGTAAAGACTAAAAAAAAACTCTGCGTTTTGAAACCTTTTAAATTATCAAACTTTCCTGGTCCAATATAATACTGAAATTGAATCGCGTGGTGGACTTCAGATACGCACGATCCAATCAACGAGAAAAGGGCTCGTTGACGTTTAAAAAATCAGCCAATTACTCTGAAGAAGCTTCTGAAACTTTATCAGACTCACAAATGAATTCTGACTGAAATCAGATAAGTAGATCACCTATACAGTTAGAAGGTTAATGGGTCCAAGTTGCCAACCAGAATCAACACATTCAAAATGACATCACAAAGAAAAAAAGCAAAATTAGCAACCGTAGGACCCAACTAGTAGCAGTCTGTCGCCGTTACACTTCCATGGCAAAACAGACCTTTGATAAACATGCCACACACGTAAACATTGGTGCGATGCTGATTTCCACTACATTGCTAACGGACATCAGTGTATTCTTTAAAGAAATATCTGCAGCTAAACGTATTATATAAGAGACATTATTCTTTTGTAAGCATACTACTCGTAACATTTACAACTGACGATAAAACCCATATAACGGAAAAATTATAAACGATTTTTCCACTGTGAGTACTTCCTAAACATGAAAAGGACAGCGTACCCGATCTTTGCCAATTGGCAGAGGCTCTCTGGTATACATATTTTTCTTGCCATCGTACACAGGACGCATCTGGTTAAAAATACGTGAATATGCCCGAACCATCGTGTTGACTATCTCTCTAAAACAAAGCGACTTTAGAAAAACATACATAAAATGACTCAGAGCGAATATAAAACCATTAACGTAATATACCTGTATCGGTGGTGAACAAACTGAAAAATATCAGTTAGTTTCAGACGAGAGCAGAATTGATTAATGGAGATTATTAAGATGAAATTTTATGATTAAGATCAAATGACTAGGGGGAAGAGTCATACTTTTGTAGATATAGCAGAGATATTAAGAGCAGTAAGTTTTCAATCACATTTCACTCGTGTCCCTTGCAAAAAAATAAATTAACGCCAAAGTCATTCATCAGTTTATATAGTTCTTTGGATGTTCCAAGAACGAATGATAGAAAATGATTAT